CACATCACCAAGCGCGAAGCGCCGTGAGGTATTCGGCGAGTCGCATGAAGGGTGAGCTGCATCCTGCTAAGGGTGTTCGGCATCTTGTGCTAACTTCTTTGCGTACGTATGACAGCTACGTATGACTTAATTTACTTTCTTGTGCTTTCACTTCCAGAGACAGTTGCATGCACTGTGTAACTGCCCCGAGGATGCTTGACCATTTTAACACAACGTGGTGCGATCATCCCCCGTTGCGCGGAGTGAGGGTTCTCCACCCCGCACAACATGATCTACTCGACCACCATTATGGTTACCGCCAAAAAAAAAAACGAGGTAAAAATATAAAACGGTAACTCTGGTTGCCGAGTTCACGAAGTGATTTGGCTTGTTTTACAACGTCGTTGCCAAGCGACGAAAACCCAAACCCCGATGGCAAACAAGGCCAAGGCGGCAAGGGGGGGGGGTGTACTCATAGTCGTGCATGCCGTAGTCATTAGACCATTGACCTCGCATCCCTACAAAGCCGGGACGGAGCACGCCGGGTTCTCACCGGACCAGGCTCTCACATCACCAAGCGCGAAGCGCCGTGAGGTATTCGGCGAGTCGCATGAAGGGTGAGCTGCATCCTGCTAAGGGTGTTCGGCATCTTGTGCTAACTTCTTTGCGTACGTATGACAGCTACGTATGACTTAATTTACTTTCTTGTGCTTTCACTTCCAGAGACAGTTGCATGCACTGTGTAACTGCCCCGAGGATGCTTGACCATTTTAACACAACGTGGTGCGATCATCCCCCGTTGCGCGGAGTGAGGGTTCTCCACCCCGCACAACATGATCTACTCGACCACCATTATGGTTACCGCCAAAAAAAAAAACGAGGTAAAAATATAAAACGGTAACCTGGTTGCCGAGTTCACGAAGTGATTTGGCTTGTTTTACAACGTCGTTGCCAAGCGACGAAAACCCAAACCCCGATGGCAAACAAGGCCACGGCGGCAAGGGGGGGGGGGTGTACTCATAGTTGTGCATGCCGTAGTCATTAGACCATTGACCTCGCATCCCTACAAAGCCGGGACGGAGCACGCCGGGTTCTCACCGGACCAGGCTCTCACATCACCAAGCGCGAAGCGCCGTGAGGTATTCGGCGAGTCGCATGAAGGGTGAGCTGCATCCTGCTAAGGGTGTTCGGCATCTTGTGCTAACTTCCTTGCGTACGGATGACAGCTGCGTATGACTTAATTTATTTTCTGGTGCTTTCACTTCCAGAGACAGGTATAAGCATTGTGTAACTGCCTCGAGGATGCTTGACCACTTTAACACAACGTGGTGCGATCATCCCCCGTTGCGCGGAGTGAGGTTTCTCCACCCCGCACAACATGATCTACTCGACCACCATTATGGTTACCGCCAAAAAAAAAAACAGAGGTAAAAAAAAAAAACGGTAACCTGGTTGCCGAGTTCACGAAGTGAATTGGCAAATTTTAAAACGTCGTTGCCAAGCGACGAAAACCCGACCCCGATGGAAGGGGGGGGGGCGAGGCGGCGAGGGGGGAGAGATATTCACAGAGGGAGTTAAAAGAGGAGTGGAATACAACACACGGAAACCATTCTTGATCTGCTCTGGACTCCGATGAACCAAAAACTCAGCGCCAAAACGAGGCAAACGCGAACCACAACGAACGGTTGATAAACACACCTGCCGTGTTGGTGAATCCATGATGCATAGACATGCAGCGCGTTTCGTGCAGGCAGCGCCCTTCATAGCGCCCAGTCGCTCGTGCAAGCGAAAGGTGAATTAGGAGCAACGAGGTACCACTCCTGTACGGACGACTGCTGCCCATGGACGGTATGGACGGTATCTCTACCGGGCTTGTAGTTCTCTCTCCCCCGTACTGTATGCAGATGTAGCTGGCAGTGCGAATGTCTTCAACCTCTTACCTCTCTTGATATAGCAGCAGGTGGAAGCATGGTGTGCTGCTGTGCTGCAGCAACATATAGGTCCATCCATTGGTCAGGGCCAGCAGGAGCATTGGGCCTCGCCATCATACCCCAAGTGGTCGACTACTTCGTCTGCAGACAACAGTGTTCTGTGCAGAGCGATGCAGATGATGCGCTCCAATGCTCCGGCCGTACGACTGCCCATCAATGTGTCCGTCGCACCAGACTTCGCTCCAGCCCTTCGTCTTGTCCTCCCCTTGCTTGGCTCAACAAGCATCTCTGCCGACTAGAGTCGCGGAGAAGAGCATCGCTCCAGCAGGATGGGGCATGACAGCAGTACTACTCTGGTGCGGCGCTACCTCGGCGTGCACACGCGATGCAGAGCAAATGCAGATCAAATGCAGGGCACTGATTGGCCAATGCAGAGCAAAAAGTTTCGATGACCTTGCATTGTTACGATGCAGAGCAAAATGAAGGTCTCTGATTGGTCAATGCAGAGTAGGTTTGGGCCGCTACATACCAGCTTTGCCATTCCAAATCCAAGAGGGCACGTGGATTCAAATACGCGATGCACCCCCCCCCCCATTTTTCAGGCGCTGAGGCTGACTCTTATGGCTCCCGAAAGTTGACCCGACGGATTGTTTTGGACGGGCAAACCCCCACCCCCCTGATTTGCCACGGATTTGACCAGGATACAGACCTCCCACGACATCACCACAGAGGTCTCACCCGTGGCCATTCGGCTAAGCCACAACGTTGGGGGGGGGGGGACTTTTTCGGTACGACCCCCATTATCACATGACTGGGGGTTGGGTAACCCGGCCAAGGTGTAGTACCTGTGCAGGGTTCGGCACGAGCGACCTTTTGGGTACTCCCCCCATTATCACATCGGTGGGGTTGGGTAACCTGGCCAAGGTATAGTACCTGGGCAGGGTTCGGCATGAACGACCTTTTGAGTACGCCCCCATTACTAGATGGCGGCGGTTGGGTAACCTGGCCAAAGTATAGTACCTGGGCAGGGTTCGGCACGAACGCCCTTTTGAGTACGCCCCCATCATCAGATGGCTAGGGTTGGGTAACCTGGACAAGGTCAGCTCCTGGGTAGGGTTCCACGCTACCTGGCACGGCCTACGTGCCGACCCTGCCAACGTGCGCCATGATTGTCTCACTAAGGTGTGAAGCTGGGAATGGAACGAACGGCCCAGACCTGCCAACGTAGGGCACGGTGATCTTCGGCTAGGTTCGGGGCATGCTGTATCACTACATACGCCCAAACCTTGCTCAACAACCACATTGCGACGTTGGCCCAGGTGTGTTGTTCGCAACATTGCCTGCATCGGCCGACGGCCCTACGAGGGATTCGAGCATGACGCTGTACAACAAAAAGATGTTTCACATTGTTCAAACAGTTGTACCGCAGAACGTGCGTCCGAAAAACGACGACTAGTCTCATATGTCATCTCATGAGGCCTACCGCTAGTTGCGACACACTTTCCTATGGGCACCACCAAACATTGCCCCACATATTCTGAATCAAACAGAGAAACAATGTTTGAACATGCAACAAACCTAAAGTGCTACTATCATCAGGGCGGTCTCTCTCTGCTGTCTGCAAGTTTGTGTCTTCACAGACAAAACCTTTAACTAAACACGAAACCACTCAACACCGCTGTGCCTGAACAAACCCATCATCGATCAATACAATGCTCTACAACCGACGAAGCGTCCCTGTGATTAAACAGGGTGTACGTAAAAAAATATCCAACCATGATCCATTAAAAAATCGGATGTATTCTGCGATGGTGTAGGTATGTATGTGCCACACCCTCCATGCTATAGGGGGGTGACGTACACACTATATATTTCACCAAAGATTAAAAGTAAACGGCGGAACTACAAACTTACAATACTAGTACCATCAGGGGCAGCGCCGGGTCTCTCTCTCTGCTGTCTGCATGTATTTGTCTTCACATACAAAACCTCCCTACGAAACACGAAACCACACAACACCGCTGTGCCTGAACAAACCCATCATCGATCAATGCAATGCTCTACAACCGACGAAGTACGCCTGTGAATAAACAGGGTCCACGTAAACAAGTATCCAACCATGATCCATTAAAAATCGGATGTATTCCTGTGAATAAACAGGGTGCGCGTCAACAAATATCCAACCATGATCCATTAAAAAATCGGATGTATTCCTGTGAATAAACAGGGTGCTCGTAAACAAATATCCAACCATGATCCATTAAAAATCGGATGTATTCCTATGAATAAACAGGGTGCACGTCAACAAATATCCAACCATGATCCATGAAATGGTCGGATGTATTCTGCGATGGTTTAGGTAATGTATATGCCACACCCTCAGGGCTTAGAGGGGTAACGTACACACTAAGTATTTCACCAAAGATTAAAAGTAAACGGCGGAACTACAAACTTACAATTCTAGTACCATCAGGGGTACGCCGGGTCTCTCTCTCTGCTGTCTGCATGTTTGTGTCTTCACAAACTTTTCTACTAACCACGAAACCACACACAACACCGCTGTGCCTGAACAAACCCATCATCGATCAATGCAATGCTCTACAACCGACGAAGCACGCCTGTGAATAAACAGAGTGCACGTAAACTAATATCCAACCATGATTCGGAATAACTCGCTACGTTACATACTTCTTTCATAATTCCAGACACACCTATGTACCATCGGCAGCACTGTCTCAGTTGATGGCTTTGCATGAGTTGTTGCGCACGACCTTATACGATGATGCAGGACACAAGAATTTGCCGGTTTCCAAAGACGAGCACACCGATCGGTACAAATAATTTTTAGGACGCGACGCTCGAGTATGTGTCGGTCGCTTTTCCATCATTATTCTCCTTTCAAAATCCGTCAGCCACAAACGGGAAATTGGCGATAACACCTCAGCCACAAATAGTTTTCTTTGTACTCTCTTCGCGGCACAACCCACTGTAGCAATCCGAATCGGAAACACGGTTTATCACAGGAAAATGAGACCGGAAATCAACCCTCGCGCCTGAATATATATGCCGCCAATATAGGGGAGGTCAGGTCTAGACGGCGTCGACGGCCATTGCGTCCACGCCGTCGCCATCGGCGTCTACGCCATCATCGGTCTCGCTGTCCACGTCACCGCCAACGCCAGGGGCGAGGGTCTCCGGGACCTCGTCATCGGAGTCCTCGTTCGCGATATCTCCAACGTCGTCGTCCTTGCGAGGGGCTGCCACAACATCGGGTGACGTATGTGGAAGTGAAGGATGTAAGATGACGACAAATGACACGTGACGTATGTGGAAGTGAAGGATGTAAGATGACGACAAATGACACGCCATGGAACAGCAATCAAACATTCGAAGCGGGCACATGTGCAGCTTATCGAAGTTTTAGGATCGCGACGCAATTATACGAAAATTAAGCGCTGGAAAAAATGGACGAAGGCGCCACGAGGCAACACGGAACGGAAAACCACTGGGGAAGGAGTGACTTTGAGTTGACTTACGGACAATCCAAGGTGGTACATAGTGCTCATGCATGCGGATTTATTAAGCGACTGGGACCACAACCCGAAGCTCAACCTACAGATTCCACTTTTGGGACATCAAAACCGACGCGAGATATTTCGCTAGCTTGCGAATCTAACACCCCGAACGAACATGCGCGGGGTGTACACAAAATTCGAAAGGGCAAGGTTGGCAAACATAGGACGAAGGCATGTGGCGGCGATCAGAGGCGACTACTATGTTGCTCCCAGGCCTATACATGATGAACACAAAGGACAACGTTGGCATCTGGAAACTTGCTCCGCTTCGACAGGTAAGGACACGCGTACTGCTTGAGGTCGGCCTGCTTCAGTGACTTCGCGTCTAGACCCAGGCAGGGCTTGAGCGTCTGGTTATCCCCAGTCGCCCACAAGAAGGCGCTGCGGAACAACCTGTCGTGTTTAAAAGGCGAGGGGACGGCGGAAGACAAGGTTGTAGTGTGCATGTTTTGCAGTGTATACGCCTACGGGGTGTGTGGTATAGCCTAGAACAAATCTCGCGAGAGTAGCGTAGTCGTCTACATGCATTAAATACCACAAGCCGCTCAGGGGAGATTCATCTCGCAGAAAATAGCTAGCCTTTCGCATAATATGACTTGCGCATAATATGACTTGGTAAGATCCGAAAAATGGAACAACAAAAAATATATCCGACCACATGTTTTCCTTGTCGTGTTGCAGAGCACCAAATGATGAGGGTGTGTGTGCTATACCCTACTTTGTGTACATAAGAACATTTAGGGTATGTCTCGTACTCACTCCTGAAAAACCTGGTTGGGAGATCCCCCCTCTCCAAAATGGCCCAGCGGTTCACCCGCGACCTGGCCTTGGAACAAGCGTCCGTGGTGTCATCGTCATCCGGCAGCACTTTCATTTGTTGGATTGCAAGCTCCAGAAGGGGCAAGGCAACCTGGTGTTCAGTACAAATAGAAATAAGCCGACGTGGGCACAATTCGAGGCGTTACGAGGGCTGGTAAAATATAAAGGTATGTAGTTTTTACCCCGTGAATCTTTAGTATTCGACGCCAAACACAGCCGCAGGGCGTTTCTCGCAGAGCTAGCTCTCAAGAATATTTGGGCTCGCGACTCTTAATGTTCGCCTGTCCGCAGCTAAGTATCAACTTTAATAAGTGGGTTTTTGTGCAGAGAGCTTGCTGTACACACCACACGGTCGGGTGGTGTGTCTTCCACCAACACCCACATCCCCCATCCTCAAAGCGACTTACAAACGAGAACGTAACGGCGGTATACAGTTCGGAATCATGGCCGGCAACATTCTGGCAAACACTCTCGCTTCGACTTGGAACTGTGAAGAAAAATCGACCGACGACCTACCGGAAAAGTTTGATCCTTGGCTACAGCAGCAGTTTGCTTCCGAGACGAATGTACAATACCATACATTTTACCTACCTCCATACTTGCTACTCGTGATTATCACGCTATACAGTTTTGTTCTGCATAATTTTTAATCATGACAGAGTGTGTATAAAAAAAAAAAACGGGGACGTCAATGGCGTATAATTAATGGGCGCAACCACGCCGGCCACATTCATTTTTCCGAGCCTTTACTCACATCCTCGATGAACAGAGGCGCATTCCCCCCCCAGATGTCAAAGGGGCCCAGGGATTCCCAGCCTCCCGACCTGTGGGCGTCCAGGGGGAGGTCGATCATGAAGTCGACGCACTCCATCATCTCCTGTGTGCGGAAACAAACAAGACGAAGGGTAGGTTTACCACCACATGCATGATGTACATGATGATGGCAGCCCATCCGTTTGTGATTGCACCCCCTTCCTGCGTATACGACTACTCGTTCGCGTCCGGGAACCATAAACCGCTTAATTCTGCAACGGGAAACTATTGGCACCAAACTCCAAAACATCGTAGGTGGAGGCATTAAGGACATACGGGCATGAAATGTCGGTATCATCCCGTCACTTACACTGCTGCCGCTATAGCGGCTATAGTGCAAATTGCAGTGTGTGTCAACCTCAACACAACGAAAGACACACGACCCACATACTAACCTCGCTGTTTGCGAGCTGCTCGGGATCATCCTGCATCAAAGCGCGGGCGACGAGCCTCAGAAGACCATGGGAGTCCTTGCCGACACTGGACGGGTCTTTAGCGACGAACCGAAGCTGGGAGAGCACGAACTCCACCACGGCGAGCCTGACCGCCTTGTGCCACTGAGCCCGGGCCGACTGAAGCGCTGACCGGAATGCCTCTGTGTTTGGAGCAGTGCAAAAACGAATGGACGATAGTGAACGGACACGTCAGGCAACAGTAAGGTGTCCACGTGTTCACCTCTAAAAATTTCATGACCCTGTCAGGGCATCACCAACAACACCGGACAGCGTGTTGAGCATGTACAAGGTGGAGACCTTAGACCCCACCAAGGCACAAGACCTTAACAAGGTCGAGGTTCGGACCTTGCCTTCGCTATGAACCCTGTTTACCCCCCCCCCCTCCCCCATCACAGGGTGCCTACAGTGTTGACCCCCGCCCCCTGCTAAGGTGTCCCCAGGGGTAGCCGAGTGGCCACATCGTAAGAGGGCGGGCCTGCAACACCGACCGATAACGGCAATCGATATGTTTCCGCCGGCAAACTAAAGCGAAGGACGGAGGCCGATTGACCGACTCTTACGAAAAACTACAATTGGCGTGAACTCCGGGGCTGTGTGGTGTATGTGCCAAACTATAATATTTCAGCAGCATAAGCAACGTTGTATTCGACCACCGCGATGACTAGAGACCTTACGATCAGGGCAACTTTGACGCATCGCTCTACCTGTGAGTTCATCAGTTTACACAAAAACTTATTCGAATGACCAAAAAAAAACACAACACTCACTCATGAAGGGCTCGTATCGTAGACCGGTGGGCTTCCAGAACATGTAGGACATCCTACAGAATACGTTCGTGTCAGGGTCCGTCCGCCCATGCCCCGTAGAGTAGTCCAGCTGCTGGGGCCCGATGAGTGCAAAACTCCACACCACAGAGATGGCAGCAGTGAAGCCACGTACTGAGCCTCCTGGCTGCCTGACAGGCTGGGTCGCACTTCCCGGAGAACCCGCGACGACCGACGAGCTGCCGCCGAGAAGTGGGGAGAAAACCAGCTTTACCTGCGACGGATGTAGTGGGAAAAACAACGGCGGGCGGGACATCAAGCGGGGCAGGAGGGAGAGTGTGGATTGCCGTCTGTGACGAATACATTTTGTAGGAATCGAACAACATCAAACAGACGACAGGTTGAGTGCGGCACGCCGCAATAATTCATGACCCTCGGCCTCGTGTCAAGGATGAAAACTGCAACTCTTTCCGTTGCTGCATGATGGGAAGTACTCGATTGACCATGTGTGTGTGTGACTGTTGGAAGGATTCCAATACACATCAAGGTATATGTAGGAGTCCTGGCTACGCCTCCACGTCATGGAAAACATAGTGGAACAATGAGAGTGGTGTGTCTACGCAAGAGGGCGGACCTCGAGTTAGACCCATAACGTTAACCCCTTCTTCTATCGTCGTCCACTCTATGGGAAAGACCCAATTGTTGAACGCGTGCTGGATGCCCAAAATCAATGTTTGTATGTGACTCGTTCATCCAAAATAAAAACATATCTGTCCCACAAAAAGTGATTCTTTTCTCAGGGAAGACCTATTTTACTCACGTGTTCCTCCATATGCTTCTGAAGCATGTAGATGAAGATTGGGCCTGCCGCAGCTCCGCCGAGAACCACCATAACGTGCCGGGGTCATGGCGGACGTTATCGTGATCTCACGATTAGAAGAACCGGAGCCGGAGGCAGCATCACCAGCGACGGGGGCAGCACCAGAACCGAAGCCGGAGGCAGCAGCAGGGTGCGAGGGTGTGATCTCGCCAAACGTACCAGAAGTCTTGCGTGAGGTGCTCTGCGAAGATGTTGCGGCGGAAGATGCTGCGGGCGCGGCACTGCTGCTGCCGCCGCCGCTCCCGCTACCAGCACCGGCAACGGGGGGCGCGGACTGGCGACGTGTGGACGGGGCAGGTACTGTCTGCGAAGACGAACCCTGCGGGGCAGTCCCCGTCGACTGCCGACGAGCACCACCGCCGGAAACAACACTCTCCGACGCCCTGGCCGGCGGATCCGAGCCTCCGGAGACGTTCCTGACGGAGGACAGGTCCGTCTCAACATCATCATCGACATCGGGCTCCTCCGCCTGGGACAGACAAAGACACAAGCAACCCGACAAAAGCGGGTCAGACACAAAAATTAGAGCAAGTTTTGCGATGTGGCTGGGCACAACGTATTGCGTCATAATGCGGCTATGACGAGAGGACGTTGAAAGGACTCGAGATTCGGGGTTAGCCGGAATGCGATCTGAAACCTTCGAGGACAAGTTGTACCCATACATGGAAGCGTAGTTGTTGGCTATTCGCTCTTGCGCAACTAATATATCTCGAATGGATAGTCTTTATTTATTTTTCCTTTATTTATACTAAATTCAACAACCCGAGATATTGTGCCGCCTTGAAAAAAGCAGTCGTTGGTGAAAGCTACAGGTTTCCTCATCCAGCACATCCATCAAGGCAAGAGCCCCGAACCTAGCTCAAACTCCGCAACATGTCCCTCTGCAGTTCATCTGCATCAAATTGGGTCCAGAGCGAACCAGACACAGGTGCATGTAAGTCCCAAATGCTGCTGTGCTTGTAGATGGTTGGTGTTTGGAAATTATGTACAGGCCATCATGCATACGTGCGTCACACTCTCGACACTTTGTCCTTTCAACTGCCACGTAGAGAGGGAGTTCACGATTAAAAGGAAGAGCGTTCGCGACTGTAATAGAAAGGGCAGCAGTACCTATCAGTGCAGGTACATGACACCATAGGGACGGTCCAGCTATTTGACAAGGCCATGTATTGATGGTACGAAAACTTAAAAAAATAAAATAACAACGGTAGCCGCTCATTTACGCACGTTGCATGCTTCGTCTTCAACGGCCATCTTGGACCTGAGCTCGCGCAGGCGCCGGCCTCGGTGGTGACCGCACACTGGTGAATCCATCAAATCCGACAATGGACCAAGATATCGCTCAGCCTCCTCAACAGCAGCTGCACAAACCCCATGGCAGGTCCCATCGGTATCGCGCGCACTTACTTGAGCCTGCGGCGGTGGCGAAGCATGCTTTTTCCCCTTTCCCTTAGACTTGGAGCGGGAGAAGCGGGTTATCCCCCCCCCTGTCCTCGCGATCCAGCCCGCCTCTATGGCATCAGGGGTAGCCCTACGGCGGGTTGATGAACCTGACCCCTTGACGCCATGGCGCGCGTCTGTGTGGGTGGTGGGTGGGGAGTGAGGCTTTCTGACGTGGGACAGGTTCAACCATTAGAAGGTTTAAAAAAAAGGCAATATTTTTTGTATTTTTCCGAAGTGTCATTTTTATTCATATTTTCCACGAAGTCTGGAAGGTAACTCTCTGGCCAATAACGAGGGGACGACACCGGTCGCTTCCCTCTCTCCTCCAGAGTCCAAGTTCCCCTTCCATGTCAACTGGCAGGCCCTAACAAAATGCCGTCTCAGTACACCGAGACCCCCAATGGTACTCCATACCATTGACATCCACCTCCCCAATCGGATCTTCATAACCCAGTTCCCCGTGGAATAATAGCAATCATATCGACATGTCCCCTATATATGTATCCTCCCGGTACACATACCTTAATTATCGCCCCCCCCCCCCCCCCCCCCATCGGAAAAAAATTTTAGGGGGGGATGGGGGGGAAAAAACAAAACACCTACCCCCCCGAAAAAAACGTCTTAACAGGGAGTAGCTGGCAGTGTTGTCTACTCGTACGTTTAGCAGTCCCTGTGCTCCCGCACTGATGATGCTTCAACGTGATTGGGCGCAAACGGAATGTCCTGCGAGCAGCTGTCTTCTCTCGGTGCGCATGCCTCCTCTTCTATACGCACGCAGACATCCTCTTTGGCACATAATAATAAATGCTCACTTCTCATCAACTCCAATAAACACCAATTTCAGACTCCTCCCCCCTTAGGTTGGATCCATCTGAAATACTTGCTTTATTGTATTTTCCAAGGTGTCATTTTTATTTTCCACGAAGTCTGGAAGGTAACTCTCTGGCCAATAACGAGGGGACGACACCGGTCGCTTCCCTCTCTCTTCCAGAGTCCAAGTTCCCCTTCCATGTCAACTGGCAGGCCCAAACAAAATGCCGTCTCAGTACACCGAGACCCCCAATGGTACTCCATACCATTGACATCCACCAACATCGGCGTTTAGTGGGATGGTATTCTGTCCCCTTGCCCGTACCTTCGTGTATGCTAACCCTTCTTCTGCTCCGTCTTCTTCCCCTTCGCTAGTTTACGGGATACCATGTCTACGTCCACCATATTATTCCTAGTATATATTTAAACGTACCCGAACCTTCCTTCCATCTACCCTCTCTCTGTATAATTCTGTCCGGTACGTCTCCTCCTGCTGCCAACGTGGTGGCGGCCCCAATTCTCAACGAATGCAAGCCGACCTGTCTCGGGTCGCCACCTGCCTTCTCCACAATCTGGCGAAGGGCGCTAAGAGCTTTGGAATAACCCCAAACCTTAACCGTATTGCTCCTCCTACAGCGAAACGAGCACAGAGGGGCGTCCTAAGGTAAAGCGAAATGGCACGCCATCAATTCCACCAACACCGCCACGGCACCGCCACCGGCTCCAATCTGAGAACGCGCGCCTCGTGCTACATCGCGCACCCGTGTAACGCACGCCCCCGTCTCCGACTGATCCCCGTTGTGGCCGCGAAACCTAACCCGAACTCCTGTGGCCTTGTGCCAGTGCAACGGGGCTAGCACGTACTCCCCATGAAAGAACTCGACGTCGCTACGCCGCAAACAATGCACCTGGTGGCATTGTCCCGACAGTGTGGCAAGAACCTCATCCGAACGCGCCACCAGGAAGTACGACAACGCCAAACACAGCCACAACACGCGGCCACCTGTACCCCACGACGCCGTCAACTGCTGTCCTTCCAACAGCGTCTCCCACGAGACGGGAACACGACTCCGACTCTTCGTACCCGCTCGAACGTGAACACGTGCGACACCCAACAAACTCCGTTTGATAAGAGACGCACCGGTACGCAACTCAAGCTGCTTGTCAACTCGATGAAAGTACTGTACCGCGGCGAGGTTGCCGGATATGGTCGGTGCAATGTTGCCCTTATCTGCACAACACCACGCCACAAACTCCAAAAGTGCTTGTTCCAGCCCAGCACGGTCCACATCCCCCGAGAGGTACCCCGACTCGCCAATCATTCGGCGAAAAGCACACCAAGCCCGCCAACCCGACAGGTAAGTTCGTCGAGACGACTGCGCAACTGACTCGCGGAATACTCGCCGCTAAGACGCCGGTACAAAGCTCGGCGACCTCCTGGCTCAAGACCTGTTGGCGCCAGGCGACATTGGGACGGGACAGGCGAAGACGAGCGTCAATGGTCGCCGCCTCCCATGGTGGAATACCATCTGCAATCGTGTTATCGACCCCTCGAACATGAGCCGCCTCAAAACACCATCCGCTGCCCATCTCCAAACATCCTAGCATACGCATGAGTGCCCCCGATCGGGGCTCGCCCCCCCCCCCGACACTTGTTCACCCACACCACACTCGAAGAGTTGTCTCCCATCATACGGATGCTATTGCGGGCGTACTCTGGCCTCATGTCCGATTGTACAATGAACACCCAGGCGCCAACTACCATCGCGAGGAGTTCGAGCATGTTGATGCTCAGATCGTCGCGCCCCTCGGCCTGCTGGCGAAACCTCTCCCGTACTTCTTGACTAAAATCAAAACGCCACCACACGCCAGAACGGAATTCGGCATGCAAGAAATACCCTCCCATCGCATCGCCAGATGCGTCCGACCACAAAAGAAACGAATATCGTTGATCGAAAAAGCATACCAGTGGGGCTGTTAACAACCGCGACGGCGATCCCAGGCCCCCTTCGACCATCAGACGCCAAAACCGCATGTCGGCATGAAACTCGGGACCGCTCCGTTTCCGTGCCACCCCCCGGGCGGTCAATTGCACCGGCGGTAGCCCCAACTGGTTGAGCATGCGGCGAACAAAATATTTACCCGGCCGCACGACCTCACAGATATGCAACAACGAACCAATCAACCCCCGCAACTCGGACTCAGAAGCAAAGCAGCGTGTGGGGGGGCACTCGCGGATTGTCGCCCGCAGACGTTCCAGCTTGTCTGTGGGAACCGAAATGGTCATAGCCACCGTATCAATGTCCCACCCGAGCACACACAACCTTGTTTGCCACGAGGAAAGTTTACGCGGAGACAACAAGGGGGGGTCGCTTGACCCGCGCGCCCCAAACACCCGGAAATGGTCCGATGCACACGACGCGGAAGCTACTTTACACCGGGCCCCAGTCTGGTTCCACATCACTTCCACAAGAATACCATCGTCCACATAGAACCGCACGAGAAACGAGTTGGAACGACCGCCCCCCGAACCGGGGGGGATACGACACCCAGGGGGAAATGGGGGTGGCGTCTCTCGTTCGCTAGGTAACGGAACCTCAACATGGTTCGTAGCCGTCCGGCCAAGCTCAGTGACAACTGCATTATCCACAGACGTGTGATTGTGAGAGTGCTCCAAGGCGGCGGTCATGACACAAAAATAGCCAGGGGAATTGCGCCACCCAAACACCAAGCGCCGATCTACCACGACAAAGTCCCCAACTGAGTAACCAAACACGGGAGCTCCCGACCATTGAACCGCAACCTGTCGAAACGCGTCCGTAACGTCAATTTTGCTTAACACAATCTGGGCCGATGGTCCGTACGTCCTCCGCAACCATAAAATGCGTCACGCAATGTCCCGCAACACGTGACCTAACTCGACTTTCGGCGCCGCCTCCGAATCCGTGTCGGCATTGACACTACGCGACACGGTTGAGCATTCATACGTAAAGTCATGGATAATCCGAATTTTCTCAGGTGACACGACCACACCTAGCGGCGACAGCCGCAACCCCGGGATCGATTTGGCCTCTTTCTTTGGAAACACAAACGCCCGCCCGAACCGCACGTCATCAAACACTTTCCCGAGAACAGTGTCAGAATGTGGGGCTACACTACGGTGATTGCCATACAATAGCGCTGGACGGCGCCACGTTCCACAATAGCAGCGACAGTCTCTGTGTGAGGAAAACCTTCCAAAGCGTCCAAACCAAAACCGAATAAATTCCGGCCGTACCCGCGGCACCCCGATGCCGTTTTCGATGGCTTCAATGCATTCAAAGCTTCCCCCATGCCGAGACAAAAACCGAAAACACTTCACCGCGATCTGAGCAAGTACGGTTGCACGCGGTGTGCCTTGCGCGATGGTTTGAGACATAGCATGTACCATGGAAACAATACGCCTAACATCATTGCCATCTAAAGTACCAACCCCACCTCGGGTCAACGCCGTAGCCGCCCCTGGTCGCAGGAGGTGCGCGCTCGGGCCCGAGACCACGCCCCCCGCTACATCGAAAGACGGCCCTCCCCCCCCCGAGGGGCAGGGCCCGCGCCCCTATTCGTCATCATCGTCCTTCGCGCCGCCGCCGGCACCGCCCTTCGCACTGCTGCGAGTCTTCGTCCCGGCCGTTCCCACCTTGGCCCGCTTCGCTGGGGCGGCGGCGGCAGAGGCGTTGGTGTCGGCGGCGGTGGAGGGGATACCTTTCGAGTCGCCACCCTCGGCGCCGCCGCCAGTCGCGCCCCCTCCTTTTCCTCCCTTTCCACCGGCCTTCCGTGGCGCCACATGCGCGAACTTGCACTTCTTACCCCCGCCGACATTTACCGTCTTTCTGGAACTTGTAGCACACCCCCTGCTCCTTGGCCTCGCTGCGTCCCCCGGCACCCGCTGCGGCGGCCGACGAACGGCCAGACTTGCCTTGCACAGCAGAATTGATCAGCCCTCCCGACCGGAGATACGCCGC